GGCTTAGTTGCTCTGTGGCATGTGGGATCTTCCCGGACCAGGGCTCGAACCCGTGTCCCCTGCGTTGGCAGGCGGATTTGTAACCACTGTACCACCACGGAAGTCCTGACCATAGTTTTCTTAATTGTTATCTGGATGTGATAATATTTCTGACACGTGTGGGTGTGAATCTAATATGCCGTGTAGACTGTTTAGCATTTGAAAATCTTCTATCAGGATAAGCTCTGGTTGAAATACCCGCAGTGGTCACAGGTGCTGCCCTTTGACCTGGAGCTGAGCACAGAGAGATGTACGTACCCATTCTCACCTGGGAAGCAGCTTCAGACCTGTGCAACTGGACGTGACACCATGAGATTCCCCTCCTCCCTTGGGCTCCAAACTTTCAAGGCAAGATGTGGCTTTGATCTTGGGCCCTCTGCAGAAAATCTCCGTTGGCAAGCCTAGCCATGACAGCTGGGCTCTGCAGTGGCAACTTTCTGTAGACAACACTGAAAAAAGTCTAAATGGCAAGTACTCTGGAGAAGACTTGATGAGGGTAACCAGGTGTGTGCTGAGAACGCAGCTGGAGAGAGTTGAAACTGTGCCACATAGCTTCACATTTTAAAAAGGAGAAAAAATGAAACCACCCTTCGGAGAATCTCTGGAAGTGGCTCCACTGAGGTAGTCTTGGTTAACCAGGGACACCAAGTTCCCTCCACTGATTGCCTCTGGTTAATTTTCTCTGCGACTTGACAGAAAGGAATGTGACAAGTTCTGTCTCTGAGCTCGCAATCATGCAAGACAGGGCTGTGCTTGTCCTTACTGACCCAGGAGACGAAGAAACCAATTAAAACTTCTTCTTGTGTGTCATCCTCCAGTGGTGGTATCAACATAATGATGCTGTTCTGGTCCAGAGCGCCCGCGGAGTAGGTGCTAGTGATTTCTCACAGTGTGGATTTGGGGGGACCACCTGGCCCGGCCCAAATGATCATTTAGCGGGTAGTTGGAAGGCTTAGGAAGGAGGACTCGCTTCTGCCTCACAAAATATCCTAAAGGAGGCAGGCTCTGCGGCTCCAAGGAATGCAGCACTTCTTGGATTCATTGGCGTAGGGTACCTGAAGCTTCTTGAAGCCTGCAGACCCTTTGCCCAAGAAATTCCCATGATCAAGACATTTGAATGAGTCTGCCTCTCCATGGCCTCCTGTTCAGGGGTGGATCCAGATTTTGTGGAGTATGAAGCTTGCATAATTTGAGGAGGCCCTCTTAAAGGCAAAGACTATAATTACAAATGCAAAATTAGGTATGAAGATGAATGTTTATTTGGAATAAAAAATACATCAAAGCAAATTAAAAATTTTTTAGGTTGACGGATACTGCACATTAAAATATTTAGAAAACAATCTCCTTGATACTAAATGTATCTGTATAAGAACTTTTTTCTATTTCTTTTCTGCAGATTCCCTTATAAGTTCATTATGTAATTAAATTTTGTAGTGTTTTCTATAGAGAGTAGATAATTCCATCTAATTGAAAATTGATTTTTATTTTTAATATTTAGGGATGTTTCTTTCAGTTTCACCATTCATTATTGGTAATTTCACCACTGAATTATTGGTAAAAGTTTTAGAATTACTAAATTTTGGGAAAACTCTTACACATTTCTCTCGTCTATGAGCTAAAAGATTTCAAGACATTTCAAGTTAGTTGTGTTTGAGTACGTGTGTGTATACATACTCAGCAACTTAAATATTCTCTGAATTGATAAGTTCATTAACTGTTTTATCGTCGTTTTTACGTTGGTCCCCACATGTGTGTGTCAGCATGGTGGGTTTTAGAAATATTACTGCAAGCCATTCCTACTGGTGCTGTTGTAGTAACAGACACAGAAATGACTACAAACCACAGAAACAGCCCCACTGAATCCTAATTCAATGCCACTCCTTCACCATTTCCTCTTAGGTCCCCAGAGTTACTACTCCAGCTACTCCAGCTACTCCAGCATCATCCTACTCAAGCAGAAGTGTGACAGAAGAAGTCCTACCAGAGAAAGACAATGCTCTTAACTGATTGCGGTTCAAGTAACCTACGTTTGCAGGTTTTATGAAAATGTGTGACCATGTGACTCTATTACCAGGGCCTCCCCGGGACCCTGGAAAGGGCCTATGTAAGCGTGCAGCCCTCACGCACAAGCTCTGTTAGCTCTGTGGCACGTTTATGTACGAAGATTTACTCACATTAGACTGGGCCTACTTCCCTGGATGGTGGAATGCACGGCTTCCCATCACTAGTCACCAAATGTTGAGGCATGACTGGGACTTCAAGCCAACTCCGTTGCCCAGTGTTTCCCTAACTTGAAGATCTTGCCAGTTTTGAGTTCCATTCCTTCATGTTCTCACCTTCATGAAGGAGATGAAGAAAAGGTGAAGCTTTAAGGAATTTGTCTCTAAGAGGGTAATAGGTTTGGCCTGGACTTTGCCGTCCATAGCAGAAAGGGCTTCCCCTGGGTTCTCTAGGGCCATTGTCCACATAAATACTTCTAATCACCTCACGTCAACACATCAGCACCGTTTTGGCAGGCTACTCTCTTGCAGTCTCACAAAAGAAATACTGCGCCAGCAAGCAAGAGTGATCAGCTGTCTGGCTGCCCCCCTAGAACTAGCACCTGGCTTGAGGCTTCTGGACGACCTGATGGGCATGAGACCTAGTGCTCCTTGCAGCATCCAGTGGGTCCCCTGTGTGGGGCAGAGGATTGGAGAGAACCTTGAAGGGGAGAAACCAGGACTGGGGCTGAGGCCCATGCAGGTCCAAGTGAAGGCCTGGGGTATCCTACCTGAATGATGCTGTTGGCCCCCAGGCAGTCCTGGTACTGAACTGCGACTGAAAAATTTTTGAGGAAGACACTCCAAAGCACGGGGGCCCCTGAGGTGCCTCTGCCTGGGTCAAAGGGCAGCACTTGTAGAGTACTGGCAAGATTCCTTTTCTTTTTTTTTTTTTTCCTTTTTTAATGTATTGGTAATGACTGTGAAGGATCCAAAGATAGAACCTGCTGGAAAAGGCAAGTTTTCCCTGAACTTGTTCACTGTCATTTTAATTGGTTTTATTTAAATGATTTTCTTAAAGAGTGTGGTGACTGAACTTTAAGAAGTAGTAAGTGTGTTTTGTCTTGGGTGATGAAATACATTAATGTTTTGAATCCTGACCACTTAAACCTGCTGTATTTCAAGCTTACCTCCTTGGTGGGACCTCCTTTCTCATCTTTTCCATGTGTTCCTTTTCCCATCATCCTCATTCCGGTGATCCTTTGTGGTCATTCCTGGATGTCACTGGTTGAAGATTTGAAAGATCGATAACTTTGTTGTCCATTGTCCTGTCTTTATTTAGGAAATGGGGCGTGATGTTGGCAGATGGAAGCCCACACTGGATGAGGATGCTCAGATCCTCTTTAACTCACACCCCCTTGGGCTTGTGAGCTTTGCCTTTTCACTGTCTTGGTCTTGCTCCCTCCCAGGGTCCGGTGCTTGTTCTTGTATATGATGTTGACATAGCTTGTGTATGAACAGTGCTTGAAGGAACTTAGTTTGGAAAATGTAAGGTTGAAGGAAGATATGTGAGCTTCAACCATCTGAAGGGCCATCACATGGAAGACAAGAATGACTTATTCTTTGTGACTCCCAAGTAGCTAAATGGAGACAGTGGGGTGGGAATTCGAGGAAGATTCAGTCCCCGGGGAAAGAAAAACTCTCTTCTTATGGTTGTTAGAGGTAGAATGAGCTTTCTTGTGGTGACCCTTTGGCAGATATGTGAGGGACTGGATTCAGACATTGGTTGGATTTGGAGTTCAGCTGACAAGCTGAAGTATGAGAAAATTGGGATGACATCCCACGGTTAGAGAGCATCATCACAGAGTAAGGGCAGCCCTTTTATTTCATTTTTATTTTCTCCTGGAAATGGTATCCTGAGTCTGACTCTTGTGTGCTGCATCCACCATCGTGTGTTTGCCCCTGTATGCTCTGCTGGCATGCATCGCTGGCAAGGACCCCGTTCTCTCTGCTGCTACTGGCTACCTCTTCTCATTGATAGGCCCCTGGTAGTCATGCCTCTGTTCACAACCTGCTGAATCAGCTTGCCTAGGGCTCAGCTCTCTGTATGTGGCTTGGGAGCTGATATGCGGACTAGTCCTTCCCAATGCCTGTAATTCCCTGAATGTATGACTCTTGCCTTATTTGGTTTAGGGTCTCAGTGTTTATCTTGACCGAACAGTGGGTCCCGCTGAGGGGATGGATCATGGAACACTCTTACCACTATGCCCCACCTTTTCTTTTTCATTCTGTCCTTCGTAGAATATTGATTTCACAACAGATTCTCAGGAAATGCTTTCTGACCTCCCTGGCTGCACTAACACTGTCCTGTTTGTCTTCTCCTCCTAGCTTTGTTCTCCTTTTCACCCAATCCAATGTCTCATTGCCACCAGTGAGGCCACTGAGTAATGCTTAGCTCCACGAGAGGCTGTCAGATCGTAAAGGATGCTGCTAATCCCTGTTTGCGTCCGTGCCGTTCCCACGTTTTAATGATGAATTTCTCCCTAAAGGAGAACCAGTATATTTCTCATGAGGGCTTTGGAAGTAATTTCTTGCTTTCATTACTAGAAAAAATAAAGTTTTATGGAGCTGCATATTGTAAACTGTTTTACTACGTGGAATCTACCCTTCATCATTTAAAACAAAAATAGAACTATATAGGAAAGAAAAGTACAGTGAAACAGTTAAGCTCATTCATTCTTTCTTAAGTGATCTGGACTTAACCTCACCTGCCCAGAGAAAAGCTGGGCTGTGTCCCAAACAGTAGGAGGGAAAAACTAGCCATGCCAGACACCCACAGCAAGCTGATTTCAACCCTCACCCACTGCTCCTCCTGGGAGCAGACAGGACTCAATCAGCTGCTAGGCTGTGCCTGTCAGGTATGGTCTGTGCTCCTTGCTAAGCCTTTTGTCTTTCTGGACCAAGATCCTTAACCTTTGTCACATCACTGACTTGGAGTGCCTGCTTGATCACCTGGCAGAAGTGACACCAGCTCTGGAGTACCTCAGCCTGCTGGGAAATGTGGCATGTCCCAATGAGCTAGTCAGCCTGGAAAAGGATGAGGAAGACTACAAGAGATACAGGTGAGTATCTAGGGGTTTGAGCATCGTGTGAGAAGGGAAAAATGGCATCTTTGGGGAGATAATATTATATTCTGGGGTGCATAGATGTCTGGTAAGTATCAGTGACCCCTTCATGCTGTATTAAACTTTCCCCCTTGGGTACCCTATAGCCAGGGTCTCCCTTCATTGAGGGTAAACAAGAGTCAAGAAACATGAAAAGATGTTGAGTGGTATAGGACAGGCATTGACAAACTTTTTTGTAAAGGGCTGGATATTAAATATTTTATGCTTTGAAGGTCATATGTTCTCTGTCGCAACTATTCAACTCTTCCATTGTAGTGCGTAAGTAGCAGTGAACAGTTGGTAAATGAATGGGCAATGCTATGTTCCAATAAAACTTTATTTACAAAAACATGGAGCAGGCCAGTTTAGACCCATGAGCTATTTTTTGCTGGCCCCTGCTCCTTGTGGTAAGATCTTCCTGTCTGCTTCTGAGTCACTATTTAGAGAGAGGGTACTTCCCACAAAGGTTTAGGGAGCTTATGTACAATCCCAAGAGGAAATCCTATGAGGCATATGGCTTTGTTCTATAAAGCTATGCCTCCGTGTCCACCAACAATGGGATTTGATGGACTCCAGGTAGAAATGCTTTTTTTTCTTCTCTCAACTTCTGAACCATCTGCTTTGAAATACCTGATCCAAACTCACTTCTCTTTAGGGAGTCTTTTTGATCTAACCCATTTTACTAAACTCATTTTTCCTCTACACTTGCAATTTTGTATGCTCTTGTTCTTGATTATTTTGTAAATGTTTTGAATGATCTTTTCATATGTGTAGTGTAGCTTTTCTCTCCATTATGATGTGAGCTCTCATTAACACCCCACCTGAATCAATGTGGGAGGGAGGGAGGGAGGAAGGAAGGAAAATGTAAGGCAGGTAGGACTACTGGAAAATAAGTTTGGGAGGATTGGGGAGAAAGGATAATGGTTCAAGAGGAACTGGTTCTATTGGGGTTCAGATTTTTAAATCTGTGGTGACCCACGAAGGAATGTAGTTGAGGGCATACATTTTCTATAAAGGCAAAGCTGTAAGAAATAGTGAAGGTTATTGAACACTGTATGTTAAAAAAACATACATATACATATACATGTTAGCAAGAGTACAGCAGAAATTCAGCTGTACTTCTTTACTGGGAAGAATTTTGTAGGAATCTTAGACTATTTTTAAGCCGTCTTAGAATAAAGCTCTATCCCTACTTCAAAAGAAATGCACTAAATCTTTTTTCCTCATGAAGATTTTTATTTGGGATGTGATACTGTCGATTTGAATATGATTTCTATTAGGAGAAATATGGTTAATATCCAGCGAGTGAATAATTAAAATTTCTAAATCAACCTGTTAAGTTAATCACTTAGAACTTAATTTTCTTCTTTAACGTTACTCTTATCAACTTTGAGTAATTTAACAGCTTGATTTCAGCTACAAAGGGGTCATTTAAAACATTTTATCTTCTGGCAGCAACTTATTATAAGATATCTCTTGGAAGGGTCAGGAGGTACAAGAAAGTTCTCTCAGTTAACATTTTTAGTAAACCAGTAATCGTTTGGGAAATTCTCGTCTGTTTTTCGACTTTTTTCTTTAGATTTCTGGTTTTAATGCTTTAAAATTGCCCAATAAATTTTATATATGTACATATACATGCATGTGTGTATGCACACATTCACACACATTCATTCTTTCATTCACTTATTCATGGAGTTATATGTGAAATGAACTGTAGGTGCATTTTTTTTTAGAATGAGAGTAATAGAGTGAGGAAAATCTCCCACTCCACCTTACTCTGTTCAGTCTCAAAGAAAAGGTTGTAAAGGAAAAAGAAAAGCTAATACTATTTTTGTTGTTATTGTAACTAGTCGCATTGGAAAAAATACTTAGATCCATGGTGTAAGGGGTCAGATCAAAAGATCTGATGTGGAGTCCAGCTTTGCCAGTGGGACCTTTAAAATGGGGAGGGCAGTTTAGATCAGCGACCCTTAACCAAGGCTATACTTGTGAATTATCCAAGGCGTTTTGATTCATTTAGTGCCAAATGCAACAAAATAGTCAACAGGTGACTTTGATGCTCAGTCAAGAACTGCTGGACTGAGGGACACTTAAAGTCCCTGTCGGCTCTGGTGTTCTGAGATACGGTCCTCCCAAGCAGTTACAGTTCCCCCTTGACCATCTCATACCATTTTATATATTCCATCATGTATATTTCTCTGACTACTTCATTTATGTCGACATCCAGAGAATGGCTTCCAGAAAGTCAGGACTGCGTCTTCTTGCCCTTTGAAGCCTTATCAGTACGGAAAGTAGCGCTGGCTGTGTAATGGGGACTTGGTAACTGTTAACAGGAGGTGGCTTGAAATTACTGTTCCATCTGAGAAGCTGAGTACTTGTAGAGAAATGCAGGGCCCTTTGGGCACCTTGGCTGCCCACTGCCTATTTAGAATTAGATCCACTTGGATGTCAACAAATGCACTTAACAAGCAAGGAACTATCCTGCAGAATCTACCTAAGTGTTGGTCCTTGGGTCATGATTCTTTAGGGAGGGCTTGATTGTAGAACAGTGATCGTTCTCCTGGGCTGGCCTGGGTACCCTCCAAGCACACCTTCCCCACTCCAGGTCTGTTAACCCCTGGAAGCCGTGGAGGGCTGGGGCTGGGGAGGCTGTGTGTTAGTGCACATATGTCAAGGTTGCCATGAGGAGCTGGATTCTAGAGGCCACACACAGCCGAAATCACATCTGGTCAGAACTACCTTAGGAAATCTGTAAGTCACCCACAACACCGGCAAAATGCTCACCCTCTGAGAGAAACAGGAACTAAGAACAGTGTAGGGAACATTCAATGTGGGCCCATCCAGTTATACATCGACTGCACGGCCTCTGATGCTTGAGTGGAGCGGCAGGCCTGTTCTCTAGCAATTCTAGATTTTTTATTTCTTTTACTTATTTTTTATTTCTGCTTTAACGAGCACTGTCACCCGTGCATTTGTGTGAGATGCATGGGTGGATGAGGGAGTTCTGTTCAGTGGTCTGTCAGCAGCCCTGCTTTGTTCATCCTGGAGTCTGTGTTTCATTTGTCCCTGAGAAATTTTAGAGTTTCACAGTAAGACTTCTGAATCCTGAGTTCCTGTGGCATTTGGGTTTCTACAAAACAGTGTAGCCACCATTTGTTTCCTTTTGGTAAAATATTTTCCTGGCCCTTCATCCCCAAAGCGTGAGGTCAGCCTTCCTTCTAGCTGTTACCCAGAGCCTAATAGTAGGGCCTCTATGTAAATTTATGGGACATTTTCACTTGAAAATGGCTTAAAAAATGAATGATATTTCTACAGTTTACTGTTTTTCACTTTAAGTACATTTTCTGACAATATGTCTTCTATTAATCATTTAAGCAGTAGTAGGAGCCTTAAAGGAGTATATTCAGAAGCAAGAACCCATGGTTCATTTAGTGCTGTCTAAAAAAATTTCACATTGATTGGCATCCTCTGTGGTTATGTGATGTAATATTTATAATATGTCACCCAGCCATACATCAAAACAAGTACGTCTCTTGTTTCATATCCGTGAGATATGTTGATTTCAGAGAGGTCAGTCCAGTTTCAGGTCACATGGTGGACAACCACTGGACCAGAAATGGGAAGTGACCAGATTTATGGAGCTATTGGAAATGGACCCACAGTTGCTTCAGTTTCTACTGATGCTTTCCTCCCCTCCCCCCCACATCACCCCTTTTCCTTCCTCACTTACCCCTGTGCACCCAGTTGGATTTTCTTGGCACACGTCCCAACAGTAGAATGGGCCCCTTAAATCCGTGAGTGAGCGTGAACATGCTCCCAAGTTGCTGAGCGGTGCCCTGGTCCTGCTGGGGCAGGAACTGAACTGGGCCTGGGGTTTCTCTGTGCCGTTCATCACAGCTCATAGCTGTTAACGTGGTGAGCTGTTATAGCTCACCATGTTATTACAGGCGCTGAAACCTGCCCTTGCTTTGCCACGTATACACAGTGGGCTGCTATTTTGGAATGAATGTTGAATGGAGGTGCATGTTGAATGGTGGTGCTGGACCTGAAGATCCAGCAGCCTTCAGGACTGGGGCAGGAAAGGATGGGGAAGCCGAGATGAGCCAGGGGGCCACCATTGTACGAAGGTTCCCCTTGGGGCCTCCGGTGGACTTGAATACTGGCCAGACAGTAAATCAAGTATGGGGAACTTGGATGCCCAGGACGGTCTATTTCTTGTCTTCCTTTGTCATTCTTTTCTTTCCTCTTACTGCAGGAGAGACAGTAGAGTGGAAGTCAATGGTGCACAAGTGCTAGACCTCAGGCATCAAATAAGGGAGTTGGTCTCATGGTCTCTTAGTGCCCCTTCCTCCACTAAATCCTTCTGTCACTAAATCCTTCATTCTCTCCTGCCACTCCAATCTCTGGTTGGCTTCTCCTTCCTCCCTCCTCCTCAGTAGGCCCGTCTGTATTCCTTACAACTTGAAATTATTTAAAACGTGACACCCTTTCTTTGTTGCCTCCCAGGGAGCAGCCCTGGGGCCTGCCCAGTGTCTGTCTCACTCAGCCAAGGGGAGGGAGGGAGGGACCTGCCATCGTCTGCTGGCCGTCTTGGGCTACCAGCATTTCCCAGCCATAGAGGAGCTGTAAAACTCGTGGCTTACATAACCCAGTGAGCATTTTCCAGCTAATCTGCAATCTGGGCTTTGAAGATCACAAGAAAGCAAAGGTCACGGCCCAGAGATCAAAGTGACAGAAGCCCACAGCGTAATTGCTGGTGACCCTCTGTCGAGGGCCTTGGTCTGTCCTGTGGGTGTATTGTTTGCACTGAGACTTCAAACGTGCTGCCGGTGAACGGTGAGGGAAGTCAGCTGGCCTTGGCCGGTTGTCAGGCATTCATTAATGCTGTAGGTGAGCTCACCTCAACTCATTAGACAGCATTGTCATCTCTCCACGCACGGTGTTTGTTCATCCCTTTG